GTTCATGGCAATATTGTAAGAGCTAAAAACTAGAAACAATTCAAATGTCCAACAATATGAGACTTGTTAAATACTTGATGATAAATTTCTGAGGATTACTGGGCAGCTCTTATAGAAATGAAGTAGATCTCTACGTGCTGATATGGAAAGATGTCTATAACGCACTGATGAGAAAAAAGCAAAGAGCAGAACAATGTGTAGACTTAAAGTGCCAATTTTTGTGTTTAAAAAGTACATCGTAGGGGCCGGCCAGGTGGCGTAGTGGTTAAGTTCACGTGCTCCGTTTCAGCGGCCTGGGGTTCACAGGTTCAGATCCTGGGCGTGGACATACTCACTGCTCATCAAGCCATGCCGAGGTGGAATCCCACATAGAAGAGCTACAGCTCTACAACTATGCTACACAACTATGTACGGGGGCTTTGGGGAGACAAAAAAAAGAGAAAGAGGAAGATTGGCAACAGATGTTAGCCAGGGCTAATCTTCCTATAAATAAATAAACAAACAAATAAATAAAAAGTATATTGTATAGTGCTGCCAATAGCCTATAAGGATGGAGCCTTACCACAAATAGTTAAAGGCGCCCCCTCTGGGTGCTCACAGTTCTAGAGCACACACAGAAGGTGCTTCTATGTTTTTGTTTTCCCCTCATCCGGGCACATTAGAGCAAAGTTAACCTAAGTATTTACTGAGAACCCAAACCACCTGCCCTCACGCAGCTCACTGTCCCCATTAACATGACTACTCCATTGTCTTCAGTAGCATAAATTTATTATTCCAGAAGACTTTTGCCAGGCAAATAACTGTACTTGTCATTCTAGGACCTTCTCACAAGACTCATCAACTCTTCAACTGAAAGCATCAACAGATAGTTTACTGCATAAGAAACATTTGACTCTTTGAACCCCTCACCTCAAAATCTCAGTGTTGCTGCTTTCACCAGTCCTAAATTGTTATATCATGATCCTTAGCTGATCCTAAGCAAGCCTTGGCACTAAAGGACCCATAAACCAAACCTCAGAGTCTCAGTACGATCCGACCTTCCCCATCCCCCACTGAGCGTTGCCAAGCCTCTCTAGGTGCCCTGTCTTACTGCCATGAGCAATTAGCACGGGTCTGTCTTAGCAACAGGCTGTGTTGGGGATGGTTGTGGAGCCAGCATTCCACAACAGATTCATGCTAAAATAGGTATAAGAATGTTTCTGGATGGAATCACAATGAATGTTGAGTGTTTCCCTTTGAAAGAAAGACTGTGCAGAGAGCTTTTCACTTTTAATTTGATACATTTTAACATTGTTTTTGCATTATTGGAATTCTGTAACTATGCACGTGTATTACTTTTATTACTATTATTTTAAATGCCAATAGAGATTATCTGGTAGTGAGATTGTAGGCTTTCATGTATACTTAAAAGATATTTACGGTATTAAAAGTTTTTATAAAAAAGAAGGGGCTCTGGTCAATAACATCAGCTGTCTCAGGAGGTAAGGACTTGAAAGTAGCTAGCTTTTTCTTTTTCTTTTTCATTTTAACAACTTAAAAAAATTGTAATATACATACAGAAAAGTATACAAATCATAAGTATACAGTTTAATGATTTATCACAAACCGAACACACTCATGTAACCACCACCCAGATCAAGAAGCAGAAGGTCACTAGCACCCCAAAGCCCCCCTTGGGCCCCATCCAGGCACAGTCCCTCCCTCTCTAAAGGTAACCACTACCCTGAACTTTTACCATCATAGATTGGTTTTGTCTGTTTTTAAACTTTATAAACAATGGAATCATAAAATATGTATTCATTTTCCATTAGATTTTTCTGCAAAACATTAAGATTGTAAGACGAAGCCACATTGTTGCAAATACCAGTTTGTTCATTTTCAGTGCTATATAGTATCCCGTAGTATAAATATGCCACAATTTACTTATCCATCCTACTGTTGAGGGACATTTGGGAAGTGTTCTGTTTGAGCTATCACGAACATTGCTGATATGAACATTCACGTGCATTATTTTGGCGTTCATATGCATGCCTTTTGGATATGTACCTGGGAGTAAAACTGCTGGGTTATAATATGTGCATATATTCAATTTTAGGAAATGATGACAAACTGTTTTTCAAAGTGGCTATAACTATTTTCACTCCTCCAACAGTGTGTGAGTTGCTACTGTTCCGTGTGATACCATGTGCCATTTGGTACTATCAGCCTTTCTAATGATTAATGAGATTGAGCATCTTTTCATGTGCTTTTTGGATCTTTAGATGTGGTACTTTGCAAAGTGTCTGGTTAAGTGCCTTGCTCATTTTTTTTACTGAGTTGTCAGTTTTTGGGGGATTTTTTGGTAGGAGTTGTGTATAAATTCTGGATGTGAGCCCCTTCTTAGTTATAAGTGTTGCAAATATTTTCTCCCACTCTATGGCTTGCTTTTTCATTCTCTTAATGGTGTCTATTGAGAAATAGAAGTTCTTTATTTTCATTTAATCTGATTCATTAATATTTTCTTTTATGGATAATACTTTATGTTTTAAGAACTCTTTATTCAGCTTAAGGTCATGAAGATGTCCTCTTAGGTTTCCCTTTCGAAGATTTATTATTTTACCTTTCACATCTAGAAGTACAAAAAACCTGGAATTTATTTTGTGTGTGGTGTTAAGCAGGGGTCAAGTTTGATTTTTATCTTTAAAGATATACAAATGTCCTTGTATGCATGAGTTTGTTCCAGCACTTTATACACTTTTATTGTTCTGTCTATCCTTCTACCGATTTCCCACTGCTTTACTGTCTCTTTATAATAAGTCCTGGTTCTTAGTAGAATGAGTTCTCCCACTTCATTCTTTTTAAGGTTGTCTTGGCCAGTCGTGTTCCTTCGCATTTCTGTATAAATTTATACACACACGCACACATACACACACAAACACATACACAAAGTGTGTTTGGTTTTTTTGCATTTACATTTGCAATAACACTTTTTGTTCTTTATTTTGAGCCTTATAATTTTTATTTCTTGAAATATTACATTGGCTAAAATGAAAAATACAAGTTGAATATATTCAGGATGATGGGCATCCTTGAATGGACATACCTGTTTCAGTCATAATCCCAGGGGGAAAGCTTTCAATATTTCGCCAGTACAGCATTATATGAAGCTGGCTTTACGCTTTTTGAAGATGCTGTTTATCAGATTAAGGAAGCTCCTTCCTACTTTTCTGTTAATTTTTTTTTTTTTTAATAAATGAATGTTGAATTTTATCTAAGGCTTTTGAAGATAGGGCTTTTTCCTTTATTCTTTTAAAATGGTGAATAACATTGATTTTCAAATAGTAAACCAACCACGAGTTCCTGAAATAAATCCCACTTGTTTTAATGCACTATCTTCTTGACATGTTACAGAGTTCAGTTTGCTTTTGTTTATGAACTTTGCACCTATGTTCATGAATGATTTAGCCTATAGTTGTTGGGTTTTTTTCTCCTAAAATTCTCATCAGATTTTAGTATCAAGATTATGCCAGCCTTATAAAACAAGCGTGGAAGTGTTCCTTCCTTTTGTCTCTGGAAAAGTTTGTGTAATACTTGTGTTCATTCTTCCTTAAATATTGGAAGAACTCACTGGATAAGCCATCTAGGCCTAAAGATTGTTTTTGTTGGGGGGGGCAGATTTAAAATTTCAGATTTCATTTTGTTTTGTATAGAAGACTATTTAGATATCTATTTATTCTTGTGTGCATTTCTGACAAGTATTTTTCTGGGAAATTAAACATTTTATTTATTAAATCTTAAACATCTTCAAATTTATTGACATAAAGTTGCTCATAATATTCTTGTATTATCTGTTCAACATCAGCTTGACCTATAGTGACAGATCATTTTCGTTCCTAATATTGGTTATTTGTCTTTCTTGATCAATCTTGCTAGGATTTTATAAACTTTTTCTTTTAAAGAACGAACTTTTGGTTTTTTGATACTTTATATGATACATTTCCTATTTTATTAATTTCCTTTTTTACTTTTCTTTTGCTAAGGAAGATTCACCTGAACTAACATCTGTTGCCAATCTTCCTCTTTTTTTGTATGTGAGCTGCTGCCATAGCATGGCCACTGACAGAAGAGTGGTGTAGGTCCATGCCTGGGAACTGAACCTCGGTCGCTGAAGCGGAGAGCGCCAAACTTAACCACTAGGCCACCGGGCTGGCCCCTTTCTTACTATTTTTGATACATTTAGAGCATTGATTTTCATCAGCCTTTTTCTTCACTTATAAAATCTTTTAATATTATAAGTGTTCCTCTAAATTTGTCATTAGTTGAATCTTACATACATTTTATTATTTTTTATTAATAGTTCAGTTTAAAATGTTTTATTACCATTGTGATTTCTTCTTTGTTATATAGTTTATCTAGAAGTGCACTGCTTAAATTAAAAATACGTGGTGATTTTTCTATTTATCTTGTTGTTGATAGATTTCTAGTTTAATTCACTGTGATCAGTGATCATACTGTATGTGACTGAAAACCTTTGACGTGTTTTGGGATTTGCTTTAAAGCCTATCATATGGTCAACCTGGGTAAATATTCCATGTGCACTTGAAATGTTCCATGTGTATTCTGCAATTGTTGGGTGCACTATTCTGTATATGTCAGTTAGGTCAATTTCGTTCATTTCATTGTTCAAATCTTCTATGTCCCTATTGCTTTTTGGTCTGCTTGTTCTATCAGTTACTGAAGGGTATGTTAAAACCACTCAAACACAATTATGACTTTGTTACTCCTCTTACTCTGTAAAATTTTTATTTATACTTTTTAAAGCTATATTATTCAGTGTATACAGATTTATCTTTTTTGTATTTCCTGGTGGATTCATCCCTTTCACTGTTATGAAACATTCCTCTTAATACCCACAAGTTCTTCTTGCCTGTGTCTGACGTTAGAGTAGCCACGTCAGCTTTTTGAGGAGAGAGTTTGCATAGTATACCTTTCTCTGTCCTATTACTTTCCACTTTTCTTTCTCCTTATATTTATGGTGTATCTCTTATAAGTAACATATAGCTGGGATTTTTTTTTTTTTTTGCTGAGGAAGATTCACCCTGAGATAACATCTGTGGCAGTCTTCCTCTATTTTGTATGTGGGTCGCCGCCACAGCATGTCTGCCTATGAGTGGTGTGGGTCTGCGCCCAGGAACGGAACCCAGGCTGCCGAAATGGCGCATGCCGAACTTAACCACTAGACCTCAGGGCCGGCCCTACTTGGGATTTTTAAAAATCCAATCTGGTACTCTTTGTTTTTACATTGGATGTAACGACTAATAAATTTGGGTTTAAAGCTACCATTGTACTAACCATTGCAAAACGCGCACAATGTTTTCTATTTGTCTTGCCTGTTCTTACGTATCCTTTTCTCCTTTATTATTTTATTTGGATTTATTTTGGATTAAATATTTTATATCATTGCATTTTTCCATCTATTAGTGTATGAAACTGCTAGTAGGAATAAAAACCAGGTGGGGTCACACAGAATCCTGACTGCTCTTCAGAAGCACCTGGACTCAGTGAAAATACAGATTTCTGTTTCTCATGCCAGAAGTACTAAATCAAAATGTGAGGCAGGCAACAGGCCAGGTATGTTTTAAGCTCCACAGGTGATTCTGATGGACAGCCAGTGGAACCATCAATCTAGACCCCATTTCCTCCTCCACATTTGAGGGTAGGTATAGAAAAGGTGGCTGAGAAAATACTTTTAGGATCAGCCCCCTTTCCTAGCACTTTGACAGTGCCTTGTGCCACAGCGCCCAGATGCCATGACCCAGGTGGACTCCAGCCCACAGGTAACTGTCTGTCTACACTGGCCATGGCCAAGAGGCTCACCCCAGTCAGGCCCGATCTGCTACTTCTTGTCTGGTGTCTGGTACCCAAGGCCAGCTGCTCTAATGTCCTAACTTGCCTCTGTTCTCCTCACTGTTTCCTCTGATTCCTGGCAGGGCATCTCTAGAGGACTGCCAAATCTCTGTTTCCACTACGTGGTAAGACCAGTGATGCTCTCCAAGAAGCCACGCAATGTGTGTGCTGATTCCACTCAATCACCATGCATGCTGGATTCTGTCTTTGTTTTATTGCAAGTCATTACCATTACAATAATATTGGTGGCACGGTGGACTGCATTTTTATAAAGTCATCTGGTGTAGAGCCTTTATTTACTGTAGAAAGAGAAGTTACCTTTAAAATTAACCACAAAAGTCCTAAAGGATGTACAAAAACACCTCTTAAGAGGTAGTCTAGTGCTTCCAGCTGCATCAGAGAGAGTTGAAATGGTCATATCACAATTTTATCTGTAACATTCAAATAAGAAATAAAGAACTGGAGGATAAAGCAGCAAATAAACAATTTTTAACTTTAAGCAAGAAGATATTTGGTACAGAGACAAGACCAAAATATATCAAGGAAAAAAAAAGTCTGTTAACTGGAAACAAGAAAATAATATCTTAGTGTGATCTTCTTCCACCAATAATAATATTATTATTATTATTAATAATAATTCAACAGCTACGCCCCAAAATGAGTAGAGGCATTTGAGATTTATAATATATTATACATATAATGCATGTGTTATTGTACTCATAAAGCAAATATTATGCAGAGAAAACTTGACACATGTTTTTCTATTGTTCTAACAATTTCTCAAAAACAGATTTTGTTGAATAAAGAATTCTGAAGGGTTTTTGGTTTTGGTTTTGGTTTAGCCTAAAGGTTTTAAAAACATCTTTTTATTAAAAAACAAAAAACGCAGACACTTTTTCTGTGTACAGCCCTTCCCACTCCAGGGCCACAGCCACCCTGGTGGAGCCTGTGTGGATGCTCTACTAGGCCACAGTCCCAGCTCCCACTTGGTTTATAACACAGGTCCTGAGCAAAACAGGATGAAGGTGCAAAATGTGACCAAAAAATGTGAGAGACTGGGGTGGGGAGGGGGAGGTTGCATATTCTGCTCAGGCTCTTTCTCTGCAAGGCTCTGCCTCTCTCCAGTCAGTAGAAACCTAAGATGTCTCTGAGATCTGCCCTGCACACTGGGCTCAGGAGATGCACCCACTGTGGGGGCCAAGAGTGCTACTGACCCGCCAGCCCCTATCCATCCTCAGGTGGCCCCAGGAGCTATCACTGACGCTAACACCTGTCCTTGGACATTGCTCAGGGCTATTTTCCAGCCTTTTGTTTTGTTCTGTTTTACTGTGATGCAGTCTGCTTGGGTTGGGTAGCAGAGATGAAATAGTGTAGCATCCTCTTTCTGTTTCCAAGATTTCCTTTTGGTCAGGAGCTCACACGTAGGTCAGCCCCAGAGGCTCAGGCTTCCTGGGTGATAATGGTTCAGTGAGCAACCTGACCTGCTCTGACTCCCCCAGAGAGGCCCCAGGTGGACCCAACGGCCACTGAAGCTCAGGGAGGGGCTCAGGGCAGCAGCAGGGAAAACAGTGAGAGACCAGCAAAAGACAAGAAGGAATGGCACCCAAACTACCTCCCCTGGGCCACTGGGCCTAAGGGAGGAGAATTCCTGGGAATTTGAGAATTACCTTTGGGCTGCTAACAAATAAATAGTCATCAAATAAAATGGAAACAACCTTCTAGGTATTTGCATTTCCAGGTATCTCTAGACACATTTAAAAGGAATGTTTTTTAAGATCGTGTCTTTCATTCAGGCCCATTCAGTGCCATGTTTAGCCAGGTTTCTCTCTCCCCAGCAGAGCTGGAATCACAGTGAAACGAGGGTCAGGTAACAAGAACACCCCAGTTGGCAGCCTGCACGTTCACTTCTGATATTATCTCATGGGATCCTTCCTCCGACCCTACCTGTGAGGTAGGCAGGGCAGGGGGCACTGTCCCACTGGAGAGATGGAGCACCAAGGCTTGGAAGGTTTAAAACCTGCAAGTGGCCCGTGAGCCCTGGAAATCCAGTTCCTGGTTCGGGCCTTCTGCCACTGTCCCATCGCCACCTCTAGCTCATTCTTGGGAGATGAGCTATTCTCTGTGGCCAAACACACCCAGAAAAAGTGGGTCAACTCAGTGCTTCTTTAACCATCCTGAGGAGAGGTAAGGTGGGAAGGAGAAAAGCCTGCAATGAAGTGAGCTCCTAAAAAAGCCAAACGTCTGAAATGCGTGAATGAACACAACCAGAACTGAAACGGTTCTCTGGAGAAATCTTGAAATCTTTGGCCAGTCTGAGTCCTAACTGCAGTAAAATCCATGGGGATGCTTATATTTAACATTTTAACACAAGTTAACGACATTTTGTTAAACACATCTTGTGGGGGTGGGGAGGAAGGTGGTGGTCAGGAAAAGGGAAGGGCAGAATCTGGGGTCCCTGGGGTCCTATAGGCCACAGAGATGGGGGGAGCACTTCCAGCCTCCAGGAACCCTTGCAGTGCACTGTGCCCCAGGAGCTATGTGGGTTTCAAGCTAATGGCCATGCTGACCATTGGGAATGAGGGTCCTGTTGGCTCCGAGGCCGTTCTTCAAAGAGTCTTTCTCTTTGCCTTTGATATTCTCTTCCTCCTCTTCCTCCTCCTCCTCTTCCTCCTCATCCTCATTGTCACTCCTCACATCCTGCATGTCCTAGACAAAGGAAAGAATGGGCTGTGAGTGACGACCTTCCAGTAAGTCTTGAGTGAATAAGTAAACAAATGGGCCTAATTTAGAGGTATGGCTCCCTTCAAAGAAAACCCAAGATCCAAACAACTAAACATCCACCAAGACAGAACATGTCATGGGTCATAAAACAAACCTTAATAAACTTAAAGATTTGAAATTATACAAAGTATGATTCAGGTCATAATGGAATTAAGCTAGAAATTAATATCAAAAAAATAATAGGAAAATCTCAAAACATTTGGAAATTAAATAACACACATAAATAACGGATCAAAGAGTAAGTCTCAAAATATTTTGAGAAAATATTTTGAACTAAAATGAAAACACAACATATGAAAATTTGTTAAATGTAGCTAAAATAGTGCTTATAAGGAAATTTATAGCGTTAAATGTCTATATTAGAAAAGACTCAAATAATTCGAGCTTCCACCTTAAGAAACTAGAAAAAAAGAAGAGCAAACTAAGCCCAAAGCAAGCAAAAGGAAGGAAATAATAAAGGTATGAAATTGAAAACAGAAAAAACAATAGAGTAAAGCAATAAAATCAAAACCTGTTGCTTTGAAAAGATCTACAAAATTGATAAATCACTAGCAAGATTGACAAAGAAAAAAAGAAGGCACAAATTGCCAGAAAATAAAAAGGGGATATGACTATCAATACTGCAGATATTACAAGAATAATAACAGAAAACTATGAACAACTGGATGCATATATATTTGACAATTTAGATGAAGTGGACCAATTCCTGAAAACTACAAACTACCCAAATTCACCCAAGATGACATAGGTAAACTGGATGGTCTTATAACTATGAAAGAAAATAAATTTGTACTTAAAAGTCTTCTTTTTTTTTTTTTTTTTTTTTTAGATTTTATTTATTTTATTTCTTCCCCCAAAGCCCCAGTGGTTAGTTGTATGTCGTAGCTGCACATCCTTCTAGTTGCTGTATGCGGGACTCGGCCTCAGGATGAACGGAGAAGTGGTGCCTCGATGCGCACCCGGGATCCGAACCCGGGCCACCAGCATCGCAGCGCGCGCACTTAACCACCAAGCCACAGGGCCGGCCCAAAAGTCTTCTGAATAAGTATATCATCAGGCCTAAATGATTTCACTGGCAAATTCTATGAAATATATAAAGAAGAAATAACACCAAATCTCCATAATCTCTTCCAGAATATAGAAGAGGCAACACTTCCCAATTTATTTTATGAGGCCAGAATTACCGTGATACCAAAACCAGAAAAAGACAGTATAAGAAAAGACAACCTCAGATCAATATCTCTAACAAACATAGACACAAAAATCCTCAACAAAATAATCCAAATCAAAAGCACCAATGTGTAAAAATAATAATATACCACAATGACATGAGATTTGTCCCAGCAATGCAAGGCTGGTTCAATATTTGGAAATCAGTGAATGTAACCCATTATATTAATAATCCAAAAGGAAAAAATAGATGATCGTATCAATTGATGTAGAAAAATCATACAACAAAATTCAACATCCATTCATGATTAAAAAAAGAAAAACTTCTCAGCAAAGAAGGATAGAAGCTAACACCATACTTAATGGTTTAATGGTGAACGACTAAATGCTTTCCCCCTAAGATTAGGAATAAGGTAAGGAAGTACACTTTCACCACTCCTATTCAACATTGTACTGGAAGTCCTAGTCAATGTAATAAGGTAAGAAAAAGAAATAAAAGTCATATAGATTGGGAAGAAAAATAAAAGTGTTCTTATTAGCAGATGACATGATTATCTATGTAGAAAATCCTAAAGAATCTACAAAAAAACTCCTAGAATTAATAAGTGAGTTTAGCACTAAGGCTGCAGGATACAAGGTCAACACACAAAATCACACACAAACACACAATCTTGATTTCTAAACACTAACGTAGAATCCTGAAAAATGTCCTCAAAGATATTAGGTCCTAATCCCTGGAACCTGTGAATGTTATCTTATATGGTAAAGCTTTTGCAGATAAGACTAACTTAAGGATCTTGAGATAAGAAGATTATCCTGGATTATCCAGGTGGGCCCTAAATGCCATCAAAAGTGCCTTTATAAGAAAAGCAGAGGGAGATTTGACACAGAGGAGAGGCAATATGAAAACAGAGGTAGAGACTGGAGTGATGTAGATATAAGCCAACAAATGCTGGCAGCCACCAGAAGTTGGAAGAACAAAGAACAGATTCTCCCCTAGAGCCTCTGGAGGGAACACAGAGGAACACAGCCTTGCCCCACCTTGATTTGGGTGCAAAACTGATTATAGACTTCTGGCCTCCAGAACTGTGAGAGAATAAAGTTGTGTTGTTTTAAGCCACCAACTTTGTGTAATTTGTCACAGCAGCCATAGGAAGCTAATATGACTAGCAACATCCAACTAAAAACTGAAATTTAAAAATCAGTAACATTCACAATAGTTTCAAAAAATAAAATACTTGTTCACACAAAAATAAATGTTTATAACAGCTCTATTCATAACTGCCAAAAGTTGGCAGCAACCCAAATGTCCTTCAACCAGTAAATGGATAAATTGTGGTATATCCATACAATGAAATACTACTTACCAATAAACAGGAACAGACTATTGACATTTATAAGAAGTCAGATGAATCTCAAAGGCATTATGCTGAGTGAAAAAAAAAGTTAGTTTTAAAAGGTTACCTACTGTATGACCTAGTAATGTCATTTACATGACATTCTTGAGAAGATAAAACTATACAGATGAAGAACAGATAAGTGGCTGCCAGGAGCTGGGGTGGAGTAAGGAGTTATTTGGGGTTATGGAATTGTTCTATATCTTGATTATGGGGATGGCTACACAAATCTACACCTGTGTTAAAATTCATAGAATTGTATACCAACAGAAAAAATCAATTTTACTGATAAGTTTAAAAATCAAACTCAAAAGTATTCTTTTTAGAAAGCAAACACTCTGATTTTCCCAATGAACATTTGCTAAGTAAAATACTACTCATATGGGCATTTTGATTGTTGGGAATTTTCATTGTTGTAATTAGGATGTTTTCTATTTTCTTTATGCAGGGACTCCTTCAAGGACAGTTCTTAATTAGAAGTATATGTTTCTCCTCTTCTCTCACAGTATTTTCTAAGGAATTTTATGAGGAAAACTCCTAGAAGAATAACATTGTCCCTGAGGAAGGGAGATGGAACTACAGATCAGACTTCACGGCAAAAGATAAAAGATGGGATGAATTATTAAAACAATACCAAGAACTCAAGCTCTGGGCAAGTTGGAGGGGGTTGCACATGACCCCTCACCCTCTAAGCCTGTTCACAAACATCTCTATTAAACCCAGCCCAGGAAAGAAACAAAATATGGGAGGTAGAGGCTGTTTTCTCATACATAATTTTTCAAGATGACATCCATAACCATATGAGTTACTTTTTCCTTTTGTGAACTGCAGACTAAAACTGACCATCTCCGGAGATTCTCGGGTATATGTAACCGAATACCTCCTCTGTGTACAACCTTCATGCAAACACAGCTTTTGAGAAAAACCAATGTACACACATTCTGCTGGCTTAATCACAGAAATGTAACTTCATGGGCTCTTTTCTGTACATTCTGCTCTTTTCCACAACAACACAGAAAGGGTCTCAAAATAAACAAGCTAACTGTAAACACTGAGGAATAAACTTGACATCTCATCAGCTAAGATGCAGCAGAGGAAGGCGCCCTTTCTGTGATATGCTGGGAGCTGGGATCAGAAGTGCTCCCCCTGCAGACGGAGTCTTTCAGGAAAGGGCCATGTTTGGCTGACATTTGCTTTCACAGATGGTGCCCCTTGGCCTCCTTTCCTTTCTCAGAAGATTTTGGTAGGGAACAGGGGGAAATTTGAATCAGAACAAAGAAACTACTTTCTCTCTAGAAAAGCAGACCAGCGTCTACCTTCCCATTTCTCCAGGACTTGAATAACTGCTTTAGCTGAGAAGTAAACTGGTCCTTGAGGATGTTCCCCATTGCCCCAAGCCACATCATCCAGCACACTGACCTCTAGGAAGAGGCCCTGGACCATATGCAGCCTTTTGGAAATTTATGGCATCTCAGAGTCACAAAGGTTGGGGAGTACTACTGACTTAATGAGGAGCGGCTAGGGATGCTGGGCAGCCTACAATGTGTGTGACATCCAAACGTCCTACCAGACCTGCGTGTAGGTGAGAACATGTTTATCATTATCCAAGCCTTGAACCTAATTCCATTTTATATTCAAGCACAGCAATTTTAATTGGTTTTAATATATTCTCAATTTTCCAGGAATGCAAATATGTACATAAATCAGAGGAAGATTATACTTTGTTTTGTTCAGAACTTCACAATTTCAGAAAACCATGTCACTGACGGCAACACTACCAGAGGCATTTGAGTCCCCAGTACAACACGCCTGTGTCAGTCTGTGCTTGCAGCTGCCCCACTCATGGTGAGTCTACATACAAGCAAGCACAGCATCTGTCCACTTGAGTGTGTTCTTGAGTGTAGTCATACACACTACACAGGACATGCGTATTTCATCAGAAATGCCTTTTATCGTATCTCTTTTTTATTACAGTTGGGGCATTACATTGTTTTCTGGAAATATGATGATAGGTGAGTTATATTACCTAGAAATTTAATTTCTGGCTAGTGAAAGGGATGTGGGTCCAATAGGATGGAGAACCACTGCCCTAGACGATGAATCAAGCTCAGAAAGGATTTCCTGGTGGTAAGCGTTAGATGAATGTATAGGTGGTTGCATGTTATGCAAGCTTGAATAATGTAAATTAGAAATTGAGTGGTATTCAAATATTAGCCAACTCTCACTCTATATTCAATTTTATTTTGTATATGCATCTATAATATAACAGCAACAGCAATGACACTCTTAAAGGGCTCTTTTTTTCACCGCCCTAAAAATCCTCTGTGCTCTGCCTATTTATCCCTCTCTCCCATCCTAACCCCTGGCAACACTGACCTTGTTAATGTCTCCATAGTTTTGTCTTTTCCAGAATGTCATACGGTTGGAATCATACAGTATGCAGCCTTTTCAGATTGGCTTCTTTCACTTAGTAATATGCATTTAAGTTTCCTTCATGTCTTTCCACGGCTTAAGAGCTTATTTTTGAAATTGCTGACTAATGTTTCATTGTCTGGATGTACCACAGGTTTATGTATCCATTCACCTACCGGTGGACATCTTCGTTGCTTCCAAGTTTGGCAGTTATGAATAAAGCTGCTGTAAGTATCCGTTCTATAAATGTCCAAATGCTGAACACTGGACTAAGCAATTAGTATAAACAATAACATTTCCTCCTCACAGCAACCCTAGGACATACGAGCCATTCTCTTTACTTTAAAAGAGAGGAAACTGAGGCTCAGAGTGGTTAAGTAACTTTGAGAAGGCCACATAGCTATGAGAGGCAGCCAGGACAAGAACCTTGCTCTGAGCTTAGACAGCTTTGAGTCACAGTGCCCTACAGAGTCTTGCTGGAGCTGTCTGCATGAATACTTGGAGAGACAGGGCACCCAGGAGGCAGCCAGCCAGTTCTGTTTGAGGTCAGGTCTCTGTATAAGAAAGCCCCCTCTGCTCTCCTCCTCCTGAGCTGAGCACCAGCTGACTCTCCACCCCTTCTCTCCCTATTCTGACTTTGCCCTTGATACCATCAGCACTGACTTTCAGGCATAAAATCTGAAATAACGAAAATCATCCCTAAGTAATTATTTTTATTATGTGAGACAAACAATGTCATGTTTTATTCTATCATATTTCGTTTAAAAAATGATGGTTGTGGGGCTTGCCAGGTGGCGCAGCGGTTAAGTCCGTGCACTCTGCATCGGGGCCCGGGGTTCGCAGGTTCCGATCCCAGGTGCGCACCGACGCACCGCCTGTCAAGCCATGCTGTGGCGGCATCCCATATAAAGTAGAGGAAGATGGGCACGGATGTTAGCCCAGGGCCAGTCTTCATCAGCAAAAAAGAGGAGGACTGGCATCAGATGTTAGCTCAGGGCTGATCTACCTCACAAAAAAAAAAAAATTGATAGTTGAGATCCACAAAACTGATTTGGCAACCTATTAATGATTTGCCACCCAGTTTGAAAAACACTGGCTAAGGTATGTTAGAAGAAAATGAGGTTTATAATCAGCTAAAATCAGAAAAGTTTAAGATATAAACCACAATCCATATTCTGCAAAGCACCTTTTCACAACTGCAAATATTTCCTAGTAATTACAACACAATAGAAATCAAAAACAAGTCAAGCTTACTCTAGGGGAACAAGGAATTTACATACTTGCTAAAAGTCAAGCCACAGTGTTTTCTGGAACACTACCTGTCTGCTTTGACAGAACGCCAAGACTGCTTGCACAAGCAGCAATGAGTCCGTCTCTCGGGACAAGCCAGTTTCTTTTCTTGCATTGCTCTTCCCTTTTATTGTTCTCTGCACACCAGCACCCCTACTCTCCCCACTTCTTAGTTGTCACTGGGCTAACAGAACTTGTCTCATGCAAACTGTTGGCCCTGAACCCTCCCATGAATCATTAAACGGCCAAGAAAATACATGCACAAACAAGTATCCAAAACCTTTGAAGAGTGCAGGCTGGATCTGGGCTTCAGCAGCCAAAGGGCTGTAGCTACTTGGTTCACAGTTCCCATACCTGCCAAAGCGTACCGCAGCACGCATGCTCACCATTACTGCCCAGCTGGGCCTCCCTTGGGAGAAGGTTTCAGTGGCCGCCATTACAGAGAGCATATTACTATTCTGATAACTTTAGATAATGTTCTTTCTAGAATTAGCAACTGACCTTTTTCCAGAAATGACCTGCGTTCTCTAGAATACGTTATTAGCAATATTATTCATTCCACAATTGGAAGCGGATGAATATAATTTTTGCAAGGTCTTTTAAAGATTTTATTTATCTATTTTTTCCCCCCAAAGCCCCAGCAGACAGTTGTATGTCATAGCTGCACATCCTTCTAGTTGCTGTATGTGGGACTCGGCCTCAGGATGGACGGAGAAGCGCTGCGTCGGTGTGCGCCCGGGATCCGAACCCGGGCCACCAGCATCAGAGCGCGCGCACTTAACCACCAAGCCACGGGGCCGGCCCCTGCAAGGTCTTTTAAAAGTTTCCTCCAGCAACTCCCTTTGGTTACACAAAAGGATGGTGAAAAGAATAAGGAACAAGTTACTTGTGTAGGAGAGACCTTGTTACTAGTCAATAGAGGTTTTGGAGCCGCCACATCATTAAACGCACCAGTGCTGGCGAATGTCGTCAGCGTGGCACTCCAAGAGGGCAGAGAAGACATGCGTTCAGAGGATGCAGTGAAATCAGAGTACCTATGAAGGGAGACCTGCAATCAGTCTGAGGGCGTCCCATACACTAGGAGAAACAGAAAACTCTGAAACTGGGACCAAAGCGAACTTCCTCAGATTAAAGTCATGTTGAAGTGAAAATTCCCCTTCAAAAGGCAGGTTCTAGGAGCAGGGGCACAGAGCTGAACTGAATCACGTCCAAAGACATTCATCCAAGCACCGGAGTATCCCTAAAATAATGGACACACTTCCAAATACTCCTACTCATCCTTTCCTCTTGGGGGGGCTCATGAAAAAAATGCTTGACCCTGTAATCTCACATGGTAATTAGCTTTGGCTGGTGCCAAATCTCTCAGACACAAAGTACCAGGACCAAGACCACAGCCCTGGCTCCCTGTAGTCCTGAGTGCAAGTCAGAGCAGTACCTAAAGTCTTTCTTTTAAGTTCTGGGGAGTTTGAATCCAAGTTGCTAAAAACATGCCCTAAGATGGGCTTATTCGCGGTTCTCTGATTCGTAGAAGGAAAACACAGCCAATTTTTGTGACTGGTCTGTATACATAGAATGTCTTCTCTTGAATTTCAGAGCTAGACTCAAAAGTTGCTTTTTAAATTGTCCCAGTTCACCAGGGAAAAATAGAATATATTCTGTTTTCCACTGATAGTTTTTATTTTCATCACACTTGCTGCTATCAATGTAGCTAATTTCCTTAAGAAATGATTTCATTTTGCTAAGGATTACAGGCTTTTAAAAATGAGCTTCTAAGAGAAAAAGGAAATTTTAGGGCTAGATGGACTCTGGAGAGTGTCTGGTCGGGCATGTTCCTTTTCCAGATGAGATAAAGCTGCAGGACTCAGCCCCACCCAGCTCAGTGACACAGGGTAGTGGAGCAGAGCTCAGACTATACTACATGGCTCCTGATATAAATGCATGGACTGCTTTCATATTCTCTGTATTTCCTAAAAAGAAGTAAAAAATGCACCAGGGTCTGTGGTAATCACCAAATTGTGATGGATGTAGAAAATGATTTAATTTCATAAATGTAATTTGCTTTGGGGATTAAAACCATTAAAATTAGCATATTCTCTAAATTGCCACATTTTTCACCCTTTAGAAATAGTTTTACATTCAATAGGCTGAAAGATCCACAACTCTAACTGGACAAGGAAATGCAAAACCATTTCGAAAAAAAATCACTAGGATTTAGGTAAGCAACACTTAGGGAATAACCACGGCAAGGTAGAGGATTAAGTATATAGCCCAGAAAATGTGTATTAAAATTGAAATGTTAAAGTTTGTTTCAAATATTAGCATCCAACAAAGAACTCATATGTACCATTATGAAGGAAAAAAATCCAATGTGACAGAAAAGCAGGCAAAGGATATGAACAGGCAATTCACAGAGGAGGCAACACTGTTGACTAATGAACTAGACAAAATGCTCCATTTTAGGAATCAGGAAAACGCAAATTAAAATGAGATAAAAATCTCACGTTCGTTAAACTGAAAAGTCTGATAATAAACAGTTGGTGAGGATGTGAGGAAAGAGAAACTCTCACACACTTGGTTTGAAAAACTGGCCACATCTAGTAAATTTGACTGAGCAATTCCACCTACAGAGAAACTCTCATACGAGGAGACCTATATAAGGACATTTATGGTAGCATTGACTGTGAACAGGAGGATGAACAGCCTGGGGAATATTCATGTGATGGAATAATACACAGGAGTTAAATGAATTGATCTACAGAGTTACACATATCAATATGAATATTATTATAATGAATGAAGAAAACAAGTTGCACAATTATATATACACTAGACCATACCACTTAGGTAAAGTTTAAAAACAAGAAAACTCGGGGCCGGCCCCGTGGCTTAGCGGTTAAGTGTGCGTGCTCCGCTACTGGCGGCCCGGGTTCAGATCCCAGGCGCGCACCGACGCACCGCTTCTCCAGCCATGTTGAGGCCGCGTCCCACATACAGCAACTAGAAGGATGTGCAACTATGACATACAACTATCTACTGGGGCTTTGCGGGGTAAGGAAAAGGAGGAGGATTGGCAATAGATGTTAGCTCAGGGCCGGTCTTCCTCAGCAAAAAGAGGAGGATTAGCATGGATGTTAGCTCAGGGCTGCTCTTCCTCACAAAAAAAAAAAAAAATTAAATAAATAAATAAATAAATAAATAAAAATAAAAACAAGAAAACAATGCTCTGTTTGTGGCTATATCCAAACATAATAAGCATATAAAAGCACAGGTGGAAGGACACCAGCTTCAGGGGCCCCCTCTGCAGAGGGAGAGAGAATAGGGTGGGGTGGAATACACCAGAATATACCATCTTTCTTCTCTAGTTTCTGTTAGACGATTTCATTTAGCACACACTAGGCACTCCGTATATATTTGATGAGCGAGTGAATGAATGAATCTAATACCACAGCCTTAAATACCAATTAAATGCAGATGATTCCCAAATTTATATCCCAGAGTGGACCTCTCTTCCAGGCGCAAAGTCAAATGATGGGTAGCCAGACAATCTCCTCTCAGCTGTCTCACAGTCTTATCAGACTCTAGTCTCCTCCTCTTTCACCACCTTTTCTTGGTCTTCCATTTTCCAGC